GTGACCCACCCCACCCTAGAGGTCTACGTGGCGGCCATTGCGGCCTACCACGCCCTTCTCGGTGGCCATTCAGTGGGAAGACACCTTCTTCTTACACGTTTCCTCTGCGGTGCGCTGAGGCCGAGGCCTCCGGCCAGAGAAGCTTATGCTAAGTGGTGGATCAGGATGCTATTCCATAGACTCGAGTCCTCTGATCTCCCCTGTCCTTTGTGGGTCAAGATTCACTCCTCCAGAAGTTGGCCTTTGGGATGGCGGGCCCCGCCTACTTCTCTCGCCCTAGCTGTGCAGTCTTCCACACTAGGCAGAGATTTGGAAGTCTGGCGGCGTGGGCATTCTCGTTCCCCTAGCGTTTCCGACGCAGCTCGAGTTCCTGAAGAGGAACGTCTCAGGTTACGTATGTAACCCTAGTTCCTCGAGGGAATGAGACGCTGCGTCTCGGTGCCATACTTCGGGCATCCCTGCCAGCGCTTGCCTCATTCCTGAAGCTGACGCTGGCTCCGCCGCACGTGCTTTTATAGCTTCCTGGTCATGACGTCACCCGCCCGTGACGTCCCGCTCAGCTATTGAACTGATTTCACATGTTATTCAGAGCGTGGTCACAGAAGGCGTTCCCCTAGCGTTTCCGACGCAGCGTCTCGTTCCCTCGAGGAACTAGGGTTACATACGTAACCTGAGACGTTTTCCCTGCTTCCTACTATTTACCTTCTGAACTCAAGACGGACAGCTAATTACAAAATTGCTTCAAAGTAGATTAGATTAGCTGGTATTTACTAAGATAAATAAGTACAACTAAAGCTGGAGGGACGGTATTGATGGAGGAAAGCACTGAGAGAAACACTGAATTTATTACAAATCACAAATGAAATGTCACTAGGCAAGAAAACCATTGAAAAAAGGGGCCATGAACTGAGAAATCAAAGTTCCCTTGATCTTTTGACATATAATAGGTCAATGTACTATAAAAAAACATCCTGAAACCAGAAAACGACTCGTTTTGGAATGTGCCACTTTATGACGTAATAGTGTGGCTAAGCACCGCCTCCGCAGGAGAAGATCAACAACTGCTTCTACATCACCGCCTCTTTAGAGCAGTGGGCGTTTACTTGCGAGTCTTGAATACGCCCTGCCTATAAAAACTAACACCTGTAAAATCACACTAACATTATAAGTGAACCTCAAAGAACATTCTAAAATAAAAATAAATTTAAAAAATGCAGTTCATGACCCCTTTAAAAAACTGCAGTTTGATTTTTAATCAAACAATTCTGACAATTCTGACAAAACAATGTTGTTCCAAACTTGTATGTCTAGTTTTTTACTTAGTTATGAGGAAGCCAAACACTTCAAAAGAGGTATGAAAGTGAACTGTGCAGTGTGGATGAAAATCCATGCGACCTGTTGGCACAGAACTGATTGGTTTCTTATAGCACAGCACAGATCAGTTTTGAGCACCTGGCACATATGAAAATTGGCTTATGTCTTAGGTGGATGGGGAAAAGTAAAATAATATCTGCTTTAGACCTGGCAGATGATGTAAACACTTCCCTTGAACTGCTCGGACACATCTTGGGGCATTTTAGAGTTGCTATGTTGTGCTGTGTTCAGTTCCAGCATACAGAGCTCAAGTCTAAGGAAAGAAGGTCAGGAGAGAGTCAACTTCAGATTGGATTCATTGTTGATAGGGGAGCACACTTGCACACTCCATGTACCACAGGCAGATTGAAGGCACTTAAAGACAACAACAGTAAGAGAAATGCTTGCATTTGAACAAGGAAATATCACAATTTGGTCATATTCCAATTATCATGTAAACATGTTAACCTGATAAAACCATAAAATGATTAAAACAACATTTTGGTTTGTCAGTGTAAGAATAAACACTATAGGCATTTATTTGAAATATTTTGTAACAGCGTAAAAGTCTTTACTGCTACTTTTGAGCAATTTAATGTATTCTTGCTGAATAAAAGTTGATTGAAATAAATGGAAATCTTGAGCATGTTTCTGTTACAGCAGAGCATGTTTCTGTTATAGCAGTATTCCAACTTTTTCAGCATAAAGAAAAAAAACTTTTTATTTTTGTGTTTTGTAGAATGATTTCTGAATTGTATTGATTTTAACTTGCATTGTACTGGATATCATGTAGAATTATCACTCATAGCAGGGGCGCGGGAAGATGCTTTCGTTTGGTGGTGCTGTGTGTGTCCGTGTTGTGGGGGGGAGGCGCTAGCGTCACGTGTT